CCTGTGTTCTCTTTTTTTCTGAGCTTGCCTAGAGGCTTATTGAATCAGCTTTTGGCTTTGTTGTTCTCTATTTTCCAAATATTTCAAAATTTTCCAAAGTTTTCAACAATACTAATTTCTGCTCTCATTCTTTTCTTCTGCTTATTTTGGGTTTAGTTTCCTCTCCTTTTTCAAGTTTCCTAAGGTAGAAATTAGATTACTGACTTTAGATCTTTTTTCTTTTTTAATATGTGCATTCAGTCCTACAAATTTCCTTCTAAGCGCTTGCTTTCACTGCATCCCACAAATTTTGATAAATTGTGTTTTCATTTTCATTTAGTTAAAAATATTTTAAATTTTCTCCTATTTAGGGACTCCTGGGTGGCTCAGTTGGTTAAGCATCTGCCTTTGGCTCAGGTCATGATCAGGGTCCTGAGATTGAGTCCCCTCATTGAGCTCCTTGCTCAGCAGGGAGCCTGCTTCTCCCTCTGCCTGCCACTCCCCCCCCCCCCCCTTGTGCTCATTCTCTCTCTCTCTCTCTCTCTCTCTCTCTCTGACAAATAAAATCTTTTAAAAAACTTTTCTATTTCTTCTTTGACCCACATGTTATTTATAAGGGTGTTGTTTTAATCTCTGTGTATTTGGGGATTTCCCAGCTATCTTTCTGTTATTGATTTCTAGTTTAATCCTACTGTGGTCTAAAAGCAGACATTGTATGATTTCTCTTTTTTTTCAACTCGCTGTGGTGTGTTTTGTGGCCCAGAACGTGGTCTCTCATGGTGAACATTCTAGGTGAGCTTGAGAAGAACGTATTCTGCCTATTGTTGGATGAAGTGGTCTGTGAATGTCCGTTATATCCCGTTGATAGATGGTGGTGTTGAGTTCAGCTCTGTCCTTGCTGATTTCTGCTGCTGTGTCTGTCCATTTTTGAGAGAGGGGCGTTGAATTTTCCAACTGTGACAGCAGATAAGTCTGTTTCTCCTTGCCTTTCTGTTAGTTTTTGCCTCATATAGTTTGACATTCTGTTGTTGGGTTTGTACATGTTAAGAACTGTTACGTCTCATCTCTTTGGAGAGCTGATCCTTGTATACTTAGGTAATGCCCACCTAAATCCCTGGTAACTTTCCTTGCTTTAAAGTCAGCTCTCTCTGAAATGTAGTTACTCTTACTTTTCTTTGATTAGTTGTCGGCATGGTATATCTTCTCCATGTGTCTACTTTTTTTAAAACTTTTTTTTTTTTTAAGATTTTTATTTATTCATGAGAGACAGAGAGAGAGAGAGAGAGAGGCATGAGAGACAGAGAGAGAGAGGCAGAGGGAGAAACAGGCTCCCCGCTGAGCAGAGAGCCCAATATGGGACTCGATCCCTGGACCCTGGGATCATGACCTGAGCCGAAGGCAGATGCTTAACCATCTGAGCCACTCAGGCGCCCCTCCATGTGTCTACTTTTTGTCTGTATATTTTTTATCTACTTTTATGTTTAAAGTGGGTTCCTTGTAGACAACACATAGCTGGGTCTTGTGTTTTATCTACTCTGATGATCTCTGTCATTTAAATGGTGCATTTAGACCATTAACGTTCAAAGTGATTATTGATATACTGGATTATCTACCGTATTTGTTACTGTATTCTGTTTGTTGCTCTTGTCCTTTGTTCCTCTGTTTGTCTTTGACTCTTTTTGGTGGTTTTTTATGATTTGAATTGAGCATGTTGTAGGATTCCACTTTTCTCCTTTCTTAGCATATCAGTTATACCAATGTTTTTACTGTTTTTGGTGGCTGCCCTATGATTGGCAGTGTACACTTACAACTAATCCAGGTCCACCTTCGGGTAACACTGTACCACTTCATGAGTTGTGTGGATACGTTGAAAGAGCAAAATAATCTTCGTTCCTTCCCTTGTCCTTGTATCATTGCTGTCTTTTCTCTCACTGATAGGAACAAGCTTACGAACGTGTATATAGACGCCCACAGTCACATGCATCGCTGCTTCTGTCACTGGGAACAAACTGTTATTTGTTAGATCGGTTAAGAGTAAGAAAAAAGCTTTTATTTTACCTTCACTTTATTCCTTCTTCAGTTCTTTTCCTTCCTTTATGTAGATCCAGGTTACTGACCCAAATCTCTCTCTTTCTCTCTCTCATTTCTTGTGAGGCAGGTCTATTGGCAACCAAGTCCATTAATTTTGGTTTGTCGGAGAAAGTCTTATTTCTCCTTCACTTCGGAAGGGTACTTCCGCAGAGCACAGAGTTGTGTGTTGCTGATGTTTTTCTCCCACCACTGTAAATACTTCATTCCACTCTCCTCTTGCTGGCACGGTTTCTGAGCAAGAGTTGGATTTGATTCTCATCTTTGTTTCTCTGTAGGTAAGGTGTTATTTTTCCCGTGGCTTCTTTCAGGATTTTTCCTTTATCTTTGCTTTTCTGTAATTTGAAAATAACAGGCCTCGGTATCCTTTCTTGGCATGTAGCCCGCTTAGTGTCCGCTGACCATCCTGCATCGGAGGTTTGATGTCAGAGTTCAGTTTGGGGAAATTCTCGTCGTTTCGTATTTTTCTTCTCTTCCTCTGTTTTCTCCTTCTGGCAAGCCCGCTGTGCTTCTCCTACACCTTTAGCATAATTGTCCCCCAGTCCTCGGATGTTGTTTTTGTTTTTTCCCAGTCTTGGTTCTCCTTGGTTTTGGGTTTTCAAGCTTTTCGTTGCTGCATCCTCTGGCTCGGGGGTTCTCAACCACATCGGCCTGCTCGTGACCCCGTCCGAGCCATTCTGGGCAGTCTGCGTTTCTGTTAGTGGTTTGAACTCTTGTATTTCTTTCTGGTTCTTTCTTAGGATTTCTGTCTCACCGCTTTCATTGTCCATCTGTCCTTGCATGCTGTCTGCTTTATCCGTTGCAGCCCTTAGCGTAGTCATCACAGTTGTTTTAAATTCCCGGTCTTGTGGTTCCAGCACCCCTGCCTGTCTGGTTCTGGTGCTTGCTCTGAACCCTCAGACTGTGTTTTTTGCCTTTCCGGGTGCCTTGTAAGTGTCCCCTCGCTAGCAGGATGTGATGTACCAGTTAGGAGGAAGTGTCGTAAATAGGCCTTCGGGAGTGTGGTGGTGAGGTGTGTGAGGAGGGGAGGCGTGCGCTTGTCCTGTGAGGAGGTTTCAGGTCTTTATTGAGCCTCTGCCTCAGACTGGGAACTTCCCAAGTGCCTCTCAGTTTCTTTCCTCCCCTTCGTAGGTGGGCCAGCATGCCCAGAGGGAGCTGGAGTTGGGCATTTCTCTTCTTTGGGTCAGTTTGGCTCTGATACTGCTCCAGCACACAGTGGGCTCTGGTTAGCTAGTTTCCCCTGAGGGAACAGAATGTAAAGAGGAACAGAATGCTCAGGCGCTTTTCAGAATGGTTCCTTCTCCCCTCCCTGCCTCTGCCAGAAGCACGAGGGAATTTTTCTGTGATACTTACTGTGGGAATGCATTTGAGCCCCTCGGGTAAATCTCATGGCATGGTGAGGACCCTGGAGTGACCGGGTCCCCCTGGAGTGTTCCACTCTGAGTGTGGCTGCACTGAGCCTCCAGCAGTCCGTCCAGTTCAGGTTTTCCTGGCAGTGTCTGCTCGTGAGCCTCTGCTTCTGGAAGCGTGACTCCTGTATTCACCTGTCTTTACTTTGGGGCCAGCAGTTTGACCTGTGTGGGATCCAAGAAGAGTTGTTGACTTTCAATCTGTTCAACTTTTCTACTTGTTGGGACAGAGTTGTGACTTCCAAGTCCCTTGTATGCCAGACCAGAACTCAAGAGTCCCTTCTGTTATTTATTGCCATGTATTTTAATATCAGGTTTAATGCGATAAAAATCACATTCAGTAAAATGGCTACCTTTTAGCTGGACGGTTTGAGAGGAGTTTCGGCTAATACAGAGACCTGTCTAACCACCGCCATACTTGGGACAGACGAGGTGTCTGTCACTCCAAAGTTCTCTCCTGCTCACTTGCTGTCAGTCCTCTTGTAATCTTTGGCCCTAGGCAGCTACACTCATCACCATAGGTTGATTTTGCCTTTTTAAGAATCTCCTAGAAGTGGAATCCTACAGTACGTGCTCTTCTGGTGCCTGCTTTTGCTAGTGTGATGTCTTTGAGACCTGTCCGTATTGTGTGTAGCAGGAGACAGCCCCCTTTTGTTGCCGACAAGTATTCCATTGTATGAACGTGCTGCACTAGTCATTCACTCGTGGAGGCATCTCTTGGCTGCTTTTGGTTTTTGACAGTTCTGAATCAAGCTTCTCTCAATGTATGTATGTAGGTCTTTGTATGCACTTGTGTTTTCATATCTGAGTAAGGATCTGGCATCCCATTGCCAGGTTGTGTGCCAAGTGCATTTCACGGTGTAAGGAACGGTCGCAGTGGCCATGCCATCTTACACCTGCCCCCGTGCTGTGTGAGGGACCCAGCTCTCGGTTCGTGCTTCCTGAGGACTTGATCCTGTCATTGGGTTTTGGCCGCTAGTGGCCTGTGGTAGGGAGCACACTGTGCTCTCAGCTTGTTCACCGAACAACTGATGATGGAGGGAGGTGACCATCTCTTGCTGCTTTTGTTGGCCATTTGTGTGTGTTTTCTTTCCTGTTTTTATTCAGCCTTCTGTTCAAACCTTTTGCTATAATTTTATTGGATTTATTTTACTTGTAAGATACAGGAGTTCTTCTATGTGTTCTGAGTGCAAGTCATTGGTTAGATGAGTGTTTGCAGAAATCTCCTCCCCCTTTCCATCTCCTGCTGTTTTATTCTGTAATGGTTTATTTTGAAGAGCTGAGGTTTTCTGTTTTAATGGAGTCCAGTTTCTGTATCTAAGTCCCTGCTTGCTCTCAGAGGTCTTTACTCCAAGGTCATGGAAACTGTCTCCTATTTGATTCTCCACGTTTACAGCAGCTAGCTAGACTCAGGATGGTCTGGGTTACTTGTGGTCAAGTTAAATGGTACTCGGTAGGTGCTTATGAAACCAAAATTGGTGTAAAAAGTAGTCTTTTTTTTTTTTTTTTTTTCCTTCATTTCAGATCAACAGGAGGCCCTTCAGGTCGGAGTGGACATCGGATGGTAGCCTGGAAGAGACAGTTAATCCTTTTTGGTGGCTTCCATGAGAGTACAAGGTTGGTACCAATAGCAGGACATCTTTCTTTCCTGAAACAGTAAGGAGTGGACTTTTTGTAGGAAGAGCCATTCTGAATACACATGAAAGATGCTGCCCATCCCTAAAACCAGAGCCAGCTTTGTGCATGGATATGCAGCGAAGGCAACTCCACAGGGCCCCCATGCTCTGCTGTCAGTGTCTTGAAATTCTTAATAGTTACTGAACAATGGGCTCTGCATTTTTATTTTACACCGAGACCTGCAAATGATATGGCCAGTCCTATGTAACACAGGATTCTCCACCGTTAGCCTGGTACAGCATCCCCCGGAGGGCTTATTGAAAGTCTGGTTGCCAAGCCCCACCCTCTGGTTTCTGACTCAATAGGCCTGGGGCGGGATCTGAGAATCTGCATTTCTGCAAACTTAGAGGTGATGCTGCTGCTGCTGGCCAGGGGACCCCACTCTGAGAGCCTCTGGCCTAAAATAACTTTGAAGGGGCGCCTGGGTGGCTCAGTCGTTAAGCGCCTGCCTTCGGCTCAGGTCATGGTCCCAGGGTCCTGGGATCGAGCCCCGCATCGGGCTCCCTGCTCGGCGGGAAGCCTGCTTCTCCCTCCCCCACTCCCCCTGCTTGTGTTCCCTCTCTCGCTGTGTCCCCTCTCTCGCTGTGTCTCTCTCTGTCAAATAAATAAATAAAATCTTAAAAATAAATAAATAAAATAACTTTGAACTTCTCAGTGCTGGGGAGTGCAGCGAGAGCAGTGATGTCTGAGGAGGGGCCTCCCGTGTGCCCATGTGTGGCCACGTTGGCATGAGCTGCTGTGATCGTGTGCTCCGTGTGTGCTCACGCCAGGCCAGGCTCACCGGCTTTCCGGTTGTTGGGAGCCTGTCGTCCACACCATAGCCTCTTGAAGGTCCCAAGTTCAGTCCCAAGAAACGGGACGTGTGGTGACAGGTCTGTGTTCCTGTCATCATCGTCCTGCAGTGCTGGGTTGTGTAACGCGACAAGGCTGTCCTGCCTGGCAAAGGCCCGTGTGTTGTGCTTTGCCTCTGACCAGGCCCTGCGTGGAGGAGGAGGGTGGGCGCGTGTCTCTCCCAGTGGCCACGTTCTATGCGTCCCTCTCCTCACCGCTTAAGGAATAGCAGAGTCATCAGTATACGAACTGTCATGGTACCTCTCACATTTCTGTCACATGATTTTTTTCTGATGATGACTGGCTTCTAAATCAGTCGTCGTGCATGGATGTGAAGGAGGAGGTCCGCGGTAGGAGTCTTGCTGTGTTTCATACCCCTCATTACCCCGGTCTTAGTTGAGGTGTTGTGGTGTAGATTTGGCTCAATTAAAGCTGCAGTTTGTCTTCATGAATTAAAGATGTTTTATTAATTGAGAAAAGGGGATATAAATTCTTAAATACTCTTGGGGATTTTAAAAGCATAATTCAGTTCAACTTAAACAGGAATGATTTTTGTGTCCTTAAATGTGTAACATGGGTGTAATAATGCTTTAATGTTGAGTCTCAAAGACCGTCCTGTTGGTAGAGCAGGTCGTGGTCCCACGTCATAGATGAGGAAACCAGGCTCCCTAGTGCCTAGAGGAGTGTGGCCTCCACAGAAGATTGCTCATTTTCGGGCAGCCCACCCTCCCACCCTGCAGGTGTGCAGCGGGTTATTGCCGTATCAGATGAGAGAGCCCGGCTGTTTGTAAAAGTTTATACCTAAGGGATTGTCATTTATTATTTATTCTGGACACTTTTAAAACTAGGAATTATTTGTCACACACACACGGGGATTCGTGAGTCTGCTGGTACATTAATTCACTGCTTGTGTACACGATGGTGGGGCCAACACAGGCCCTTCCCCTGGGAGCTCACAGGTTAGAAAGTGGATCAAGGTTTATAATGGTTGTAATCTGCAACTTTTTCAAAATCAGAACTATTTTCAAAACTGTTATCATCTGTTACCTTGCTCAGAGTTACTGTTTATAAAGTATTTAAACACATAGGAGAAACGGTGGTAGTAGAGCTACCTGTGCAGTCAGCTTCCCTGTGAGACAAGTTAGTCTGACTTGTGAAAACCAGGGAACAGTTGATATTTATGTTATTTATGTGTAGAACAGCACTTTTTTTTTTAATATTTTATTTATTTGAGAGAGAAAGAAAGCACGAGCAGGGGCAGAGAGAGAAGCAGGCTCCCCTTTGAGCAGGTAGCCCGACATGGGGCCCAATCCCAAGACACTGGGACCATGACCTGAGCCAAAGGCAGATGCCCAACCAACTGAGCCACTAGGCGCCCCTAGAATAGAATTTTTTACTGAAAATCTGCAGGGTGAAATCTGAGGAAACAGTAGAATCTAGTAATGCCTTCTCAACTCTGAGCCTTCGTGTTCTCTGTTCACGTATGAAAAGCCGTCCTACAGAAGGTGTGTTTCCGTGGGTGCTGGTCAGGAGGGGCACCTGCCAGGTGGCATCCTGTGCCCCGTGCTCTATGTTGGCAGAGGACCCTGGCCTCTGGCCAGCGCTCCTCTCCTGGCGGCCTTTCCACACGCTGGCTGCGGGGCGCCCCACTCGGGCTCAGACCGTGGGATGGCTTCTCACTTCAGGCCTGGCTGTCTGTTCTGAATACCTGGAGAGCACCTCTTACTCTTCTCATGTCATTCTGACCTGAAGCCCCTTGGCTTTGCCTGTGACTGTCCATGACGTTACATCAGAACACTGCATCCTTGAGTCGCTGCTTTCCCACGCACGGGCTCCTTCTCAGGGCTCCTTCTGCAGTCGAGTCCTTGGCCACTTCAGTCCCAGGCGCACTAGGCAGGGCCCTCTTGCTGCTGCCGGGCTGCTGGGCCTCCGGGACGGGCCTCTAGGCACACCGGCTTCAGGAATGCTCAGCCCAGCTCAGGGTCTCCTCCCAGCCCTAGCCCAACTCTTAAGTGTCTGAGTATTCACCTGGCTCTGTAATTCATGATTTAAAATTACACGCGTGGAAACCTAATGTAACAATTTGCAAGATAGTGATTTTGTAAGCTTTGTCAGGAGGTATGGTATAACTTTCAGACTAAAAAGGCTTTCAGATCCAGGCAAATTACTGTATTCTTTAAGCTAGCATTATCTCTAGTTTCCAGATGCAAACTCACATATGCCCGCGGTCCCTTCATGTGGATTTAAACTTTTTTTTTTTTCTTTTTTTTAATTCGACAGAGAGAGAGACACAGCGAGAGAGGGAACACAAGCAGGGGGAGTGGGAGAGGGAGAAAGAGGCTTCCCGATGAGCAGGGAGCCCGATGCGGGGCTCGATCCCAGGACCCCAGGATCATGACCTGAGCTGAAGGCAGACGCTTAACAACTGAGCCACCCAGGCGCCCCATGTGGATTTAAACTTTAATGAAACCAATAACTTACTACAAATGGCAGAAAATTTACCTTTAATTTGAAATCAGGTTCACTTTTTAATGTCCCCACCTCCTCGTTTGTGTCCCTGTGTTATAACCAGAGATTACATCTACTACAATGATGTGTACGCCTTTAACCTGGACACGTTCGTTTGGAGCAGACTAGCCCCATTAGGGGCTGGGCCCACACCTCGGTCAGGCTGCCAGATGTCCGTCACCCCCCAGGGCAGCATTGTCATCTATGGGGGCTACTCAAAACAGGTAAGACGCGGCTGACAGGGAACCAGGAGCTCCTCCTCTCTGTTGCCTTTTTCACCAGGAATGGAACTTCCAAATAGGATTGCGAATTGGTTTAATAGAAACACTTTCTATTGAAGTAGAGATGGATGTAGTGTTCATCTGTTCCCCTGTGAATATATTAAGATTTTTTTCATCCACATTAAGCCATATTATGTTGTAACCCATATGGCCTGAACATGCTGCAGTGTGAGTAATTCTGTATTGGGGGGAGCATGCTCTTGATGCCTAAGCCACAGACACCAGGCACTACGTACAGTGTTTAATTATAGTAGAGGCTGTCATTGCTGTGAGCGGTGCAGACACGCTGGAGTGAGTGTGTGACGTGCTGGCTCTGGTTGTGTCCCCCACACAGGGTGCCCTGCACAGTGTCGGCAGCCCATAAGCAGCCCCTCACCAGCTTGCATGCGCCTGTGAGCCCCAGAGAGATGAGGTGGCGTCTCACCACAGGCTTTTTCTTAGCCTTCATAGTTTGAAAATTTCTCCAACATAGAGTGACTTACAAGCACTTAACGTCCCCCCACCCAGACCCTTCTGTAGTTAGCGTTCTGCTGTCCACACTTCTTCATGTAGCTGTTCACATCATCCACCCATCATCTTTCTGGGCGTATTTTAGAGAAAAGTGCAGATATTGGTCACTTCCCCCTGAATACTGGAGCATGCATACCAGCATGTAGAGTTCAGCATTCAAGTGGTTTTTTTGTTTTTAACTTTATTTATTTTACATCCTCTCTGCACCTATCAGGGGGCTCAAACTCCTGACCCTGAGCTCAAGAGTCACATGCTGCTCCGGCTGAGCCAGCCAGACACTCCTCAACATTCCATTTTTAATGTACAGTTTCTCTGCAGTGACGTGCACACATTTTAAGTGTGTACCTGCTGGTTGTGACAGATGCATGTGTGTGGGTGCTCGGAAGCCCTCATCTGCCATGCCCTTCCCCCACCTGGAGGCAGGTGCCAGTCTCTGCTTTGTCCCACCTTGTCCTCAGCGTGCTTGTTCTAGGACTTGTGACAGATGTGCTCGGTGGAGGAAGGTGTCCTTCCTTCAGTGTGCTTTTGCGATCTGACCACGTTGCACGTTTTAGTTGCTTGCTTCTTCGTGCCAAGCAGTATTCCACTGTGACACAAAGTTTCTCAGTTCTTTATTGGTGGACACCAGGCTGTTTCCGGTTTTTGACCCTTGTGAACAAAGCTGCTGTGAGTGTTCTGTGCAGGTCACTGTGTGGCTCTACCTTCTGGTTTCTTGGGCAGATGCTCAGGAATGGGACTGCTTGGGTTACAGGGTGGGGCATGTCTCAGTGTGGGCTGCCCACACCCTTGCCAACCCTTGATGCCACCAGTCTTTTTTATTCTCGGCCATTCTGGGCGGATGTGTGGTGTCTCATTGTGGTTTTAAGTGTCGTTTCCCACATATGGAATGGGCCCTCTGACGTGGGGGGCCGAGCAGGTCGCCTCTTGGTGGTTGGGGTGACGCAGGCAAGGAGTCCGTCCTGCCCTGGCGGGGTGTCCCGCTTCCACCTTCTTCCCACTCCTTTCACCCTAGTGAGCCATGGCCCTACCGCTCAGGAAGTGGTCGGCCTTTGTTCTGGAAAGAGAACGTTGATTGGTGTTCTGGCCTTAGCTAGATGTTTGATAGATGGGAGGGCCTGAGAAACAGGTTGCTTTGGCCACAAGCTTGTGCCCACATCTTGTGCTTCATAGAGTGAACCAGACGGGATACAGAAGGGAGCCTTGTGATGCTCACGCCACTTTAAAGAGGATATTTAATCAGAATAGTGTCTCTTCTCAACAACTGCTCTTCTCCAACTAGGAACACCGGCTAGGGGTGTGGACAAGCTGGGTCCACTTCCCTCAGTGACCACTTGCTCCAGGCCTTTGGCGTTTGAATCACAGTAAAGAGCTTGTCTGTTTGGATCCATGGGGGATTTATCCCAGTCAGGGCAAAATGGGAGTTAGGGCTGCTATGGAATATTAGGGTGTTAGTCTAAGTGGGTGATGGGCTGCCTGAGTCCTGACTGGAACCCACTTCACGGTCCTGGAGCCTGGACTTGCGGAGTGCTCCTTCCTGCCCAGTGTCCCCGCCTAGGGCAGGTGTGGTTGGGCACCATGGCAGTGAGCTGACAGCCGCCAAACACGGCATCGAGTGCAGATGCCTTGGAAGTGGCCGGGGGGCGGCCTGCAGAGCAGGGTCTGAACTTGTGAGGTGTGGGAGAGACGGCCTCTTGGTGGTTTCGTGTATCACAGATGGTCCACCTGGGCACCTCAGCTGTCCCTTGCCAGGTGTTGAAAGCTTGCTGCTGTTGTGAATCCAAGGGAACCAGAATGAAATTGTGCTAACTTTATAAAAGGACCTCCCGTTGCCAAGATGCTGAGGTGGCTGGTTGGCAATGCTGGCTGCTTCGAGAGAGGGGGCAGGGCCGTCTGCACCTTTTGGACTTGTGAGCCCGGCATTCATGGCTTGTCTTAAAGTAGCTCCTCTTTGCCTTTGGGGAGGACGTCTCATGCACATGGGGTAGTTTCTGTGGGTGGTTCCGTGCTGGTTCTCAGCCATCAGGACAGGAGCGACGAGGCCATGGGCCTCCCTGCCCTGCCCCGCCTCACCCGCTCCCCAGGAGCTGCAGGAGCACCTTCTCCCGGTGGCATGTGGCATCTTCCTTTGTCCCCGCAGGCCCTGGTTGGGATGTGCTGAGGAGGGTGCTTTCACTGGCCCTGGGAACATAGGTTCCTTGAAGGTGCTTCTCCCACACGGTCCTTTTCATGTTTGACTTTCAACCAGGTTACAGCCACTCTGTCTGGAGCCTCTCCCCACCCTCTGGGGACAAACTGGGGAAGGCCCCAGAGAGTGGACAGTTGACAAACAAAGGGTCCTCAGAGCGCAGCAGCGCAGGGCCCTCCCTTACTCGTCTCGGAGCCGTTGCCGCCCCTTAGTAGGGTCAGATTGCCCTGAAACTGGGGTGGCCCAGGAGGTTGAATCTCCACATCTGAGGCTGAGGGAGCTAGAGCTGCTGATTTGAAGACCCGAGTGCAGGGTGTGAGTGCAGTGTGAGGAGGTGCCTGGGTTTCAGGCACACTCTGAGTCGTTTTGGAGATAGTTATGTTGTTTTGCAGTGTAATGTTGTAACGCTTGATACACGTCTCTGTCGAAAGTGTCTTTGGATTCCATGGATTCCATTAGTACTGCAGTGGACAGAAACGTGTGAGCGGGGGAATACATTCTTTGTAAAATGCACCTAGTTTCAGCCTCTTACACAAGTGCCCCTCCCTAGAGAGAGGCTGAGGCACTGTACGGAACGTCACACTGCCGAGACGGGAGTTCAACGTCTCCCAAGGCTTGTGCAGACTTGCTTCCTCCACCAGGCCTGTTGAATCTCGTGGGAAGCCTGGCCGTGCCCTTTAAAGGCAGTGGCACAACAACAGCATTACACAGGTAGCTTCCTGTGGGTCCCTGTGAGGACCACAGACTGGATTTTGGGCAAGTCCCTGCACTTCAAGAAAAGAAACTGCTGTACAGGAGGAGTTAGTGAGCTGGTGGGGCGGGCAGCCCTGGCACCAGTGAGCTCTGGTCCGAAGGGCTGCCCGTCCCCGTCCAGCCAGAGCCCTGGTCCACGCACTGGCCGGCACCAGGCTGTGGCCCTGGGCTTGTGGCATCGCCCTTCTCAGGAAGGCTTCTGGCTCGTGGGCCTTGAGAGGAGGTGTTTAATTGGTACAGCATAGAAGAGCCCCCTTAACTAGTAGGCTCTGGCCGCTGCCACAGCACGCAGGTCAGCAGGTGCAGCGACGCGGGGGCTGCAGCTCAGCTGTAACTTATGTCTCTAGCAACAGAGCGGTCACTGAACTCGTTCCAGGTCCCCCCAGCGGGTGGGGCCTCTGGGTGTGAATTCAGTTCCTGCACGTGCTGGGCCTTTTGGTGTGGAAGGGTAGTCCCTCCCGCTGTGCAAACATCTTGTCTGAATAATGTGCAGACATTGCCTCATTTGAATCCTGCAAATGTGTCCGGAAGGAAAACCAGAGAGGTGCAACCCGAGTTTTCATTTCCGGAGATGCAGGCCATTCCCCACTCAGGGCCGATCCTGAACCTCCTGGGCTTTAGGATAGTCAGGTCACATGTCCAGTCTGTGGACAGTTGGATTGTGGCTTTGTTTTCCAAAAGGAGACCAGCTTCTCCCCCCTGTAGTAAAGGCATACCTGTGTTTGAGAGGAAAGGAGGTATGTGTCCGTATTTCCTGATCCTGTCTCGTGTGTGTGTGTGTGTGTGTGTGTGTGTGTGTGTGTGTGTGTGTGTGTCTCTCTCTCTCTCTCTCTCTCTCTCTCTCTCTCTCTCTCTCTCTCT